TTGATTCGGACGTAGTTGGGTTAATATTGCATATGGCAGCCTATTTTGAACATAAGACAGGCTTTTGTTTGTATAAACTAAAAAAAAAAAAAAAAAAAAATGTAAATTGAAATTACAATAACCAACTATGGGCTGTATTTTAAAGTTGCACATAGCATTTTAAAGTTGCACATAGCATATTTTAAAGTTGCACGTAGCATTTTAAAGGCGACAATTTATATACTTCACTGTTTACAGTTTATACTTCCCTCTTTATCATTTTTCGTTTACAGTTTGCCTTTACCGTTTGTATTTGCAATTTGCAATTAGTGTTTGTTAATATTTGCAATTATTACATTTGTTGTTTTGTAACGTTCAACCACTATCTCTTTTTATTTTACGTTCAACAACCACTGCACAAAAAAAAAAAAGGACCAAGCCATTGTTCAACAACATCGAAGAGAGGAAAAAGAATATTAAATGCATACGGACGTCCACGAAATCAATGTCAATAGTGAAAGAGCTCATGGTGTGAAAGAATATGAGCGATTTTCGTTACATTTTTTTCTCACTGCATTAGGTGAATGTCCCATTGTCGAACTTCGGCACTAGACACTCTTTGTGTGTGACAAATATTTATGCTCACGAGAGCGTTTCAACTCGTATTTGTCCAAAAAGGATAAAGGATGATCCATTTTTTGTTCATGTTGCTACCATGTGAAATGTCCTCTAGAGCGCAAAAAAAAAAATTGTTTAATGATTCACATTCATTTTTTGTTTCAAATTATTTTTGGTGTTTGATAATAAAATTTTCAGTTATAAGTTGCAATTTATTTTGTTGTCCGATTTTTTATTATGTTGTTTGCTGAAGTAAAACTAATTAGAAAATGTAAACAAGAAAATGCAATACTATCGAGAACATGCAAAATAACAATTAAAATCCAACACATATGGTCTCAAGAAAATTAATAATTAAGATTGCTATAAAATAATTATGAAAATAGAATTAAAGATTTTTTTAAAGAAATGAAGAATTAATTTTCACATTAGCTAGAGGCTTGATAGAAACAAATAATATAAGTGAGAGAGAGAGAGAGAGAGAGAGAGAGAGAAAGGGGGATGTGATAGGGGAGAGAGGGAGAGAAAAAGGCGTGTGGATGAGGGGAGAGAGTGTAACCGTGTGGAGAGGAGAGAGAGTGAGAGATTTGTGGGATTTATTTCCTTAATTTTTAAAATTAACTAATTACATAAAAATATTAATTGGGGGTATCTATGTCTATACATAAATAATTAATTAAATTTAATTGATGAAGGACCTACACCTATATTCATCTAATAGAATGGATCTCCACCTATATAAGTCTAGAATAAGGGGTGTCTAGCCAATTTCCCCTAACAACAACAGTGATTGGATAGTATAATATAATTCATTAATTCAACCTGATTTATATAACCGGACATTACTAAATAAATTAATTACTCCATCTGTTCCATAATAACTATCTCTTTTTAAAAATATTTTGTTCCATATTATCTGTCACTTTAGATTTCCAATAGTGCATTAAATTCATTTTTTCCTATTTTAACCTTATTAATTCAACTATAAGTATTAACTCTCTCTTATCACATCATTAAATAATTAAGGTTAGTTTAGTCTTTCTAATATATTTTACCTAAAATCAAGATACATTTATTGAGTTTCTTAATACTCGTGCAAAGCAAAAAACGACACTTAATAAGGAACGGAAGGAGTATTTGAAGACAACCCACATTAATTTAAAATTATATATGGCTTCAATAGTATGTAGCACGAAAACTTCAACTTCTAATGCGTTTCCAACATGTGTCGCCTCGGACGCCGTATGGGTCATTTTGTAATTTTTAAAAAGTTGGAAACATGTTTGATTAGCAAGTTTTCAAAAAAAAAATTGTCGTTTTCCTAATTATTTACACTATTTAATTATCAGTTGCAAATTGATAGTTGTTAGTAAAATTTATTTTGAATATGTTTGTATGAAAATATATAAAAATGATTTATATATGAATAAAAACTTATGTATGTTTATATAGCATATATATAAATACATCCCTATAATTTAAACATTTACACGTTTTCCCCAAGTTCTCATATCCCTATTTTTCGATATATCATTTTCCCGTATCACCGTTTCGTACTACATAGCTTCAATATAATGATTTTCCATGTGAAACAAAACTTAAATTTCATTTGTCTTAGTCAACATAAGTAAATTCAAGGACCCACAAATAAATAACAATTTCCCAATATTTATAGTATTTTCTAAAGTTCGAACTACGGTGGTGGTCCTTTTTTGAACCCATTTATATGTATATCCAGTGACAGCTATTTACTAAATTTCTTTATATTCCAATTCTACCCCGACAAAATCTTTGATTTATACCTTTCGCCCCTTCTGTCAAATAATTGCCGCGTTTTTTTATGTCTGTACAGAATAGCACAAGTTTCACAGCATTTATTTTAGTGGAGTTTTCTTCTTCTTCTTCTGGTCCAATGGACCATCGACAACATAATTACAAAACATTTAATTTATTGGAATATTTGTAATTTAATTTTTTAATCTTACTTTGTGATTTTTGTATTTTGCTTGCATGTTCTTGATACGATATATTATTAAATATATCGTTTAATTATTAGTTAGTTAATATTTTATTATTAATTAAATTAGATTGATATATTTAAATATATATATGGCGTGTTAGTATATTTAGGATATATATATAGTCGTGAGTTAGTAGTGGTTAGGAGATTATTAGGTATTTAATTAGTATAGGTAAATTACCTTTCCTAGTTAGATTAGGATTCTAGGGTTTTATTCTCTTTAAATAGTCGTCTTGTGCTAGGGTTTTATTAGGCAGAGAGAAATATTAAAGAATAGATCTTACGTTTCGTAGGAAATATTTATGATACTCGAGAGATCGTACCAATTGGTATCAGAGCGAAGTTGAAGTTGCGATTAACACCAACGCTTCGTTAGCAAGGCAGCGATTACATCAAAGCTACGCTGGAGCAAAGTTGAGATTACATCAAAACTTTGTGAAAATCATGATGTCAGAAACAAGACGGTTGGAGCGATTGGAGAAATCCGTAGAGAGATTACGGATTAATTTTCAGAAATTGCTCGAACAAAGTCAAGGACGACGTCAATGCCATCACAAAAGCCGAAGGGACCGCTGCCGAAGGGACCGCTGTCCGTCACCGCCACGGCCATCACCACCACCGCCACTGCCGAGCCTATCGTCGGAGGGAGAGGAAGAGGACGACGATGACTTTTTCGAAGAGCCCCAAATTTTTGTGAGTTCGCCCAAAGAAGAAGAATCGAATTCCACTGAGATAAAGTGGGACGAAGAGCCGAAAGAAGAAGAATCGGAGTCAATTGAGATAAAGTGGGACGAAGACGAGAAATTAACCGGAGAAGAGAGCGAAGAGCTACTATGGATATTCGGAGATTTCCATGGTGTTCAAAAGAAAGGAGACAAAGAACCGATGGTCAGTTTGGATGAGATAAAATCTAAAAAGACGATTGAAAAATTTTATTTGTCGGGAAAAAGATTGAATAGTTTCGCTACAATGGCCTTTGGAATTTCATTGGATCAGCAAGAACAGTGTGTTAAAAAGTTTGGTCGTTCATCGTGTTTTTCGGAGTCAATCGGGAAGCAAGTTGATAAGCAAGTCGATGAAATCAAACATAGGTGGAAACGCAAAGGAGAGAGACCAAATTGACTCGAACCTTGAGGACAAGGTTCATTTCAAGAGGGGTGGTTTGATACGATATATTATTAAATATATCGTTTAATTATTAGTTAGTTAATATTTTATTATTAATTAAATTAGATTGATATATTTAAATATATATATATGGCGTGTTAGTATATTTAGGATATATATATAGTCGTGAGTTAGTAGTGGTTAGGAGATTATTAGGTATTTAATTAGTATAGGTAAATTACCTTTCCTAGTTAGATTAGGATTCTAGGGTTTTATTCTCTTTAAATAGTCGTCTTGTGCTAGGGTTTTATTAGGCAGAGAGAAATATTAAAGAATAGATCTTACGTTTCGTAGGAAATATTTATGATACTCGAGAGATCGTATCAGTTCTTGACAAAATCATCACAATAGTAGAAAATTAATGTTGTCAATAATCATCGAGTCGATTAACTAATCCATTAACCACGAGTTAGTTCCGCGGCAAGTCGATTGTAACGACGGTTAGGAAGTGACCGTGGCTCCAGCTCAGCAGAGACGACAATGTTTGGCTACGGCGTCTTACTAAAGGTGTAGATTCTACTTACATAAGCGTGAATGCGCTCATTCTATTTCTTTTTTGTTTTATGTTATTTGCCGCGGCCAATGTGCGGATGCCATGTGGCACGCCGTTGGGCTATAAATAACAAACCAACTTAAAACGCTCATTTAGAAATCAATAAAATCTACCTCTCTTTTCTCCCTTTAAATGCAAACGGAGCTAACATCGATTGTCAATGTTTGGTTAGATTTTTATTCTTTCCCCAAAACGAATTCGTGTTTGTTGAGCATTTAAAAAGAATCCGAAAATAATTTTAAAAGTTTATCCATAAAAACATGATTTGACTGCTACAGTGTATATTTTGTATCATCTCAAAATATAAACAAATATTACTTATATTCACAAATTCTTCCATCAAAACATATTTTTGCAAATCAAAATAAAAAATAATTCCCGAAATCATTCCATACATTAATTAGTATTTAGCAAGTGCAATTTATAAATATCTATGAAAAATATGTTTTCTTCTTTTTTTTTGGAGAAGAAGTAATGAAATATTTATAAGCCATAAATTTATTTCCACAAGTAAATACTACCAAATTACCAATGGGAACAGTTTGACCAAAATGACGTGGCACGATATCACTGGTTGGATTCACCTACATCTGCCGTATCAGAACACAACAGAGGATCCCCGCCCCAACATAATAAATCATTTTTTCTTCCCTTAAAAATAATAAAAAATTAAATATTAATTTCAATTTTCTCTCTCATCGCGAATTCGTGTCTCTTTCTTCCTCTTCGTGTTTGTCTGACTCTGCAGAATTTCCCTCTGCAGACAAAAAAAATACCTCGAAGAAGAAGAAGAAAAAATCAAACAGAAAACCCCAACGGAAAAAACAAAACCCTAGCCTCAGAAGCTGAAAGCTCTCTGCTTTTCACCGTTTCACATGGCGGCGTCCCTTTCCCGACCACCGCACAGGCGGAAGCACTCCGCCACCACAAACGCCTCCTCCTCATCCTCCGCCGCCGCTTCGAAGAGCCCTTACGACGACGTTTTATTGTCTGGTGGCGGTAAAATGAAGTTCCAAGCTCATGAGTACGCCGAGATTTTCTCCGGGTCGTCGTCCATCCCGGTGCTCGATCTTTCGGGTCTGGACGAACGAGCGGGTTCGGGTTCGGGCGATTACCGGAGCTCCAACCTCGATTATTCGAGCATCTTTGGTGGGGTGCGGGTTGATGACGTGGCGGTTCCGTATGAAGAGTTGTTTGCCAGGAAAACTGTTACACGGTTAGTTTTCTCTCCTTTCATCCATTCACAATTTTTTCTTCTTTTTTTCATTTATTTATTTATTTATGAATTTGAAGGGGAAGTTTGGTACTTGTTGTTTTCGATTTTATGTTTTCATAATATGTAGGCTGTAGCTAATAGTTCTTGAATTTTGACATTGGTTTGGATTTCCTTATGTAAATGTAATTAATGTTGTTAGTGTGTATAAAATAGAAAAAAAAAAGGTTAAATCCAGTAAGAATTTTCCGGAAATTTCAGTTGCGATCGTCTCTATATTTATCGTGCTCGTGTTCGATTTTCAAGTGTTCCTATTGTCGAATTTGCTTTCATGTTAAATCCGATTGCTTGCAAGCCTTGTGTTCATAAATCGTTTATTGCAACCGTCACAGGCCGGCAGCAGATCCACAGTCCCCTTTTCAAGAATCGAGTTCCGAAAATACCCCCGATCGATCCGCAGATGGAATTAAACAGCATATTAACGTGTCTTTCAACAAGATTAGTCAGAAAACGAGCGACGCTTCAAATGGGAAAACGCATATAGCACAACTCGACTCTGTTCCTGGATTTACTCGCTTTGTCGACGGTGACAGGGCTGTACCTCCACTGAAACGTGAAGTGAGTCGCACATGGAGTTTTAGTGTTGGGGTTAACGGAGAATTAAGTCCTAATAAGACGAGTAATGTGAATGAAATCGAGAGCAAATCACACGTCTCGAAAGTGCCAACTCATAATCCTGTTGAGGTTAAACGCTCGAGGTTGTCGAGTTTTGCTTCTAGAGATTCTTCTGGAAGGACAGGTGGCGGACACTCGCCGCCGCCTTTGTTTGATGAGGAATTAGATGAGAATTCAGTTGCCGGTGTATCTGCAGCTGCTTTGAAGAAAGCGATAGAGCAGGCTCAGGAGAGTATACGAATCGCGAAAATGATAATGGAGAGGAAAAAGGACGGTCTTCGAGGTGGGCCCAAGATTAGGTCCGACAGTCATTTGGAAGTTAAGGATGATGATAAGAAGGAAACGTTGGAGAAGAGAGAATTGACTATTGACCGGACAAAGGAGCCCGAAATCGTTGCTGAGCTGGCAGTGGAACAGCGTCGAGCACATGTTGTGGCTCCTGTAAAAGGACCTGAAATTAATGTTGAATTGCCGGAAAGAGATGAAGATTGTTCTCAAAGCACGCAAGAACACGAGAAGTTTACTCGTGAAGCAAATGAGGAGAGAGACAATCTTGTTGGCTGTACGGGAAAACAAGAGGAGGAATTCGTGGAGCATGATGAGGTGGATAATGAACTGCAAAGTCCAAGTGGGAGAGGCGTGCTTGAGGAAGAAGACACGAAGAAGAGATCTGAAAATATCACCGCGTTGGAAGAAAACGGAGATGAAGAAGAAAATGGGGTGATGCAGAAAGAAGAAGAAGTACGCGAAGTAGGAGAAGATGGAGAACATGGGGTAAATGTAGTTCACGAGCCAGAAATTCGTGACGAGGAAATGAACTTTCGGCATGAGCGGGATGAAATTGCGGAAAGAGAGATGAATACTTTTGAATGCGAAGCAGGTGAAGTACTGAAGAGTGAAATTACGGGCGATGAATTTGAGGTTCGGGAGATTGCTTCCGATAAGGAAAATGATGATGCTGTTGATGTCCATAGTTATGATTCCGACACGAATTTGAGTGATACTAGCGTCGTTATTAGCGAGACTCGAGAACCTTGTGATGTTGAATTAGACAGCGGAGCGCAAGTTGAAGGAAACGAAGATAGCGACGATAGTTTGCACGGAGTGGTAACTGAAATATTTTCGGAGAATGAGAGCTTGAATAGATGTTCGTCTGAAGAGAGTTTTATCGAAAGCAAATTGAATGATGGCGTTGAAGCTCTTTCTTCTGATAGCAAGACTGAAAATGTCGGTGTAGAGGATGCAGATGATCGAGAAACATTGCCGAAAGACGACAACGTTTTCACAACAACTAGCGAGTTGCATAACGCTTCTCAAGAGTATGCTGCTAATACTCGAGTTGAGGAATTAGATACCACAAATGTAAAAACGGAATCGGAAAAAAGAACTTCGGAGACTAACGAAGAATCTGCATCGACCTCCATCCTCGAAAATTCAGATGATGTGTCAGCTCACGAGGCTCGAGCGTTTGCAGCAAATGCAAACGAAGAAGTAAAAGATGACCACGATACGTCTCCCGGTGAAAGAGAATACGTTGAGGAACAAAATGAAGAAACGGGTCAAAACATGGAAAAGAATAAGGAGAATCTCGGCGAAACCACGACCACAACAGCACAAAAAGATTCCAAATCGAACGAGCAAACGTCCGAGACAAACGACGACGACCAGCAGCAGAGAATCGAAGCTATCAAGAGGGGAAGAGAGAGGGAGAAAGATAGAATAGCTGTAGAAAGAGCAATCCGCGAAGCACGCGAGAGGGCGTTTGCGGAAGCTCGAGAAAGAGCAGCGGCTGATAAGGCGGCCGTTGAAGCCAAGGTTAGAGCTGAACGAGCTGCAGTTGAAAGAGCCACAGCAGAGGCTCGCGAACGAGCTTTAGAGAAAGCAATTTCTCAGAGAATTTCCACCGACGCAAGAACACAGGGTGATATACACTCCCCTTCAGAAAACAATTCTACTTCTTCGCGAAATAATGAATTGAAGCACAGTTTTTCATCTTCGGTGAGTTTATCATTTTTTTTAGATAATATTCATTTGTATGAAAGATTAATGATGTAACGAGTATTTTTTTCCCCTGTAGGATTTGGAGAAATTTGATGGAACGAGTAGTGAATCGGCACTGAGGCGTAAAGCGAGGTTAGAGAGGCATCAGAGATTAATGGAGCGAGCGGTAATTTTCGTTTTTTGAAACTAATTGCTATTTGCTATATAACTCGAGCTACATTTTCAATATTTTCCAATTCAATTGGTCGTTGTAGGCGAAAGCCCTTGCAGAGAAGAATATGCGCGATCTTCGTGTCCAGAAAGAACAGGCCGAGAGAAATGTAACAACATTTCCAATTATTTTTTAACTGAAAATTACGCTTTTTTTTTTCTTTTTTCGGTTGTAATTTTTTGTTTTAAAATGTAAATCGTAACTGCAGAGACTAGCTGAATCACTTGATGCCGTAATTAAGAGATGGGCGACGGGGAAAGAGGGCAACTTGCGTGCACTACTCTCGACTCTTCAATACGTAATGAGTCACACTCTTTAGTATTTTTTTTTTGTCTTGAAAAAAAGAAATCGAATAACAATTTAGTGACTCATATTTGGTCTCGTTTTACACACGTGCAGATCCTCGGATCAGACAGCGGGTGGAAGCCTATACCTTTGACAGAGATCATAACGACTGCAGCTGTAAGAAAAGCTTACAGGAAAGCAACTCTCTGCGTACACCCCGACAAACTTCAGCAAAGAAAAGCCACCATCCAGCAAAAATACATTTGCGAAAAGGTCTTTGATCTTCTCAAGGTATTCTTTCAAACCGAAAAAAAAAAGTTATTCTAGTTTTGTATAGGGTTTTAAAAGCTAGCGTTTTTCCGTTATGGTTAACGACTCACTCACTCACTCACTCACTAACTCACTCACTCACTCAACTACAGGCTGCGTGGAACAGATTCAACTCGGAGGAAAGGTGAAAAATAGCAAAGCAGCGGCATTTGTTTCGGAGGGGCTTCTTTTTGTATTCGATTAATTTTATTTATTTTTCTCTGCGAGATGAGGGCTGTCTGTATATTTGTTGACCAGGTAGGTTGACATCTGGTTCTGGTATGCATAAAAATAAATGTATTGTTGTAGTATGTTTCTATATACTATTCCATCTTTAATGCTGGTGTTCTTTTGTATAATGTGATTCCTATGTGATAGTAAAAATCGGAAAAAAATAGAAACCGGAATTTCGAAATTTGGAACTAAAAAAATTGTTCTGAAATCGAAATTTTTCGGATTGCAATTGGTGGGATTCAAAATTTCCATTTCCCGTTTCCAAAAAAAAAATTCGGAAAAATCTGAAATTGGAATTTTCAAAGTGAAAGTTTCATTTGAAAAATATTCTACTAAAATCGAAATTATTCTAATTGGAATCGGCGGAATTCAAAAATTGGAATCTGGCAGAAAAAAAGAAAGTGGGAGAGAAGGATCTTTGGGTAATTTCCTACCACACGAAGCTATATGACATTAAGGGCAAATTTCACTTTTTCCTCTTGTACTTTGGTTTGATATCACTTTACCATTTCTACTTTAGATTGCATCGATATTCATATGCCCCTTTGCACTAGAAAAATTGTCTCAATGTGGCCCTCGTTGTTAGTTGTCAGTAATTATTAAAAAATAAAAAATAAAGAAAATTCAAGACAATGAGAAACAATAGTCCATGATGGCAACCACAAATTATTTTTTAAACTAAGCCGAGTGGTTTTTTTTTTTTATTTATTTATTATTCAGATCTTAGATCAAACGGTGTTAAGGTCAAAGGTGTGAAAAGTAACGGCAAGGGCCACATTGAGACAATTTTTCAAGTGCAAAAGGGCAAATCAATACAGTCGAAAGTAGAAGGGGTAAAGTGATATAAAACCAAAGTACTAGGGCAAAATGGAATTTACCCTTACATTAATACCCCTCTATAGAAATTTTCAGTAAAAAAAGTTAAAACCCTAACCCATCGTCTCTGTTCAAAGAAACAATAAAAATGGCGCTGAATCTCTCAAACACATTCCTCCTAAAAGATCTCCCGCCTTCTTCGCTCTCCTTCAACTCCAAGGTCGAAATTAATTCAATTAACAAAAAAATCAATCTTTGATTTACTTTTAACCTTACTCAGTTTTCCTTTTTTTTTTTTGGGGGGGGGGGGGGGGGGTTGGATTTTTTACAGGCGGTGGGCAGTAATCAGATGCGGTGGAGCTGCAGGAAGAAGAATATACACCCGGAGTTCTACGAAGACGCGAAGGTGTACTGCAACGGCGAGCTGGTGATGACAACCGGCGGAACGAAAAAGGAATACATCGTCGACGTGTGGTCCGGCAACCATCCGTTTTACCTCGGCAGCCGTGGTGAGAATCTCGTAGATGCCGATCAAGTCGCCAAATTCCGCAAAAAATACAGCGGTCTGTCGGAAATCATGGAAATACCTGTCCTCACCGGAGAGATCGTCATTCCTCCCCGGAGAAAGTCCGCCGCCACCAAACCTAAAAAGAAGTAGTCTCGAGATCCTACATTTTCCCGCCTTTTTTTTTCGGTAGTGAGTGTTTCGAATACTTAATTTATGATGTTTGTTCAAGACGTAAACGGCTTAGAAGACTGTCGGTTAATATTTTCACTATCTTTCGTCGTAACTCGATGGTATAACTGACAGCAGGATGGAACTTTGCTAGTTTGTTTCGATTTCGGTTTCATCTATCTCATTATAAGGGTTTTGGTCGTGACTCGTGAATTCGATACCACAAGACAGCGGTTTTTGTGTGTATTTCTATCTGTATTGTATTGGAATTGATTTTGGGAACTGTATATACGTGGTCGTTTTCGTCAAATTATATATTGAAAAGTCGAGTTCTTGAAGAATAAATCGTTAATCTTCTCTGTGCTTCTTTAATCTTTATTTACGAACTTGATTCGCAAATGTCGGAAATATGGCCTTCCTGCAAAACGCTCGTCTCCAACTTTGAACACTACTCTCGGTTATGTTATGTTCGGAACTTTTTACCAGGTGAATAATTATTGCTATATAGTACAACAAACAACTGAAAATTTGAACACCAAATCTTATTACCAGGTAGGTGCATGAATTTTATTTATACATATTATGATCGAAATCGGATCTTATTCCAACACACAACGCATCTCACAAACATACACACACCTATTGATATAGATCTACGGTTTAAAACCTCATGGTGTATTTCACCAGGTGTAGGATCTCATAAGCCTAATATATTAGGTACTTATTAGTTATTAGTAAGCGATTAACAGTTGAAATAGCAAAAACACGCAAACCCCGGAAATTGCGCATGGCAAGCACCGTGACTCGCGCGCTCCCAGTTCCTGCATTGATTATTGCAGTTGTTGGAGCTACCGCAGAACCCTGTCCATGTCTTGCTTCGCCTTTCACAAAGCCTCGATTCCACCACCATAACTTCTGATTAAAAAAAAAAAATTAAAAAAAAAACTGAAAAAAATATGTGTACAAGTAAAACCATGGAAAAACTTTCAAAGCCCACCATTGTTAAGCATGATGAAGAGAAGCAAGACGATGAGTATGACCGACGAAAGCCGATATACAAGTGAAGCAGCCATTTTTTTAGCTTGTATTTACGTTATTGCGTGTTCTTTTTTTTTCTTTTTTTTTTTTTTTTATTGGGTGATATATATTCTAGAGTAAATTTATAGTGAAGTGTTTGTGTTAGAAGAATAGAAAATAGATCAACCTGGAAATTTTGACTCTCTTATCCTAAATGTGATAAACATCAATTTCTATGCTCCAAACATTTGTTCAAACCCTTGTGTCATACAATTTTGGCACAATATACCATATTTCAACAATTCTGAGTATTTTTTTGAATGTGTTTGTGACTGGTGTATTAACTTGTTAGGTCATATATATATATATATATATATATATATATATATATATATATATATATATATATATATATATAATGTTTCACTAATTTTTTAATAGTCAAACAAAATCACAAGAAATTGTATATACTTAGCACTAGATTTTTGCTAAAAATCGTTGAAAGTTTCGAAAAAGATAAAATTAATACTTGAATGTATAACATAGAAGATTTTTATCCACAAAATAGTCGAAAAATAGTTCATCTAAAAATTATTTTACTAATCCTTGAATAGTTTTGCACTGTATTGTATAAAAATTGCATTTGAACTTTTAATTAATTTATATACTGAATAATGAAGCTACAAACATAAATTGTTATTCTACCATCAATTGTTTATAAATCGTCAATTCGAATTAAGTTTTTCGCTAAACCTCGCCCGACCATATCTTACAAGTAGAATAGTACGATCTAATTCATTGGAATATATTGGCTATCACGACCGGGATGTTCTATCACAAGCAAGAAAAGAAACGATAATGAG